CCCACTCTCCCTCTCCGGCAATCACCCTTAGCTTAGGCAAACATATTTCAGTGTTGGTTTGGGAGAGAGCAGCAGCTTGGAAGCCAAACAGAGATGGTTTTTAATCCCAAATCTTCTACTCACCAGGTGCATGATTTTGTAAATTTACTTACTTTCGCTGAGCTTCTGTTTCCTTATCTATAAAATAGAGGCAATACTTTCCTCTTTGAGTTATGTGAGGTACCATGATGCACCTGGCTCGGAGCTTGGCATATGGTTGGAGCTTCCCACAAGAGCTTATAACCTTAGACAGGAGAATCGATACATCCAAATAAATGTTTTCCTGTTGTGGAGGATAAAAATGAGACCCATAACCCTATTTCTGATTGCAACCCTTGCCATTATCTGCCCCTTCCTTGGGAAGGAATAACGGAGGGGAGGAGATGGCAGGACAAGGCAGGGAGATGACAAGACAGACTCTAGGGAAGTGGAGAAAGGAGTGGGCAGGTGCATTTGTTTTCTATTAGTATTCTGTTACCATTTCTACGATTGCACAACAAATTGCTGTAAATTTAACAGCTTAGAACAACACCCACTTAGGGCGACGCCTGTGGCTCAGAGGAGTAGGGCGCCAGTGCCATATACCAGAGGTGGTGGGTTCAAACCCAGCCCCCCCAGCCAAAAACTGCCAGGAAAAAAAAACATCCATTTATTGTCTTGCAATTTCTGCGGGTCAGGAGACTGGCTGTGGATTAACTGGCTCCTCTTCTCAGAGTCCCACTGGACTGAAATCAAGGCATCAGCTGGGCTGTGTTCTGATCTGAAGCCCAGAGTCCTCTTTCAAGTTCATTGGTTGTTGGCAGAATTCAGTTCCTTGAGGTTGGAGGCGTGAGGCCCTGGGCCCCTGGAAGCTGCCCCCCACTCCTGCTGCACGGCCCTCCTTCTTTAAGGGCAACAGGAGAGGAGCCTCTGTGCTGCTTCTTGCCTCAGCACAAGAATCAGGGTTCGCCCGATTAGGCCAGACTCACCTAGGATAATTCTCTCCCTTTTGATTAACTCAAAGCCAGCTGAGTAGGGACCATACAATCTCTTTTGCCATATAATGTAACATAAGTCATAGGTTTTGCCCACACTCAAGGGCGGAATATTATACAGGCTATGTATAGAGAGGGCAGGAATCTTGGGGGCCATCCTGCAATTCTGCCTACTACAAAGGAGCACCTGGATGTATCCAATAAACAGAGGAAAAATCTTGCTTCCATTTTTATGAGCACAAACCTTCCTGGGGGCACTAAACCTGTACCTTTCATGGCTCAAGCACGGTGAGATTATTAAACATGGAAGGAGGGGAGCAGGGTGAACCTGAAGACACGGGGCAGCCTTGCCCTGGTAGTGGTACAGCGAGCTTATGAATGAATGGATTCAACTTCGGTTGAATTGTTATTTAGGAAAAGGGATGGATTTAAAAAAAAAAAAAGAAAGAAAATGGGCTAGTTTTTCCTGGCAGATCTCCATTAGTGCCTGTCTGTCTGCCTCCAGTGGACACATAATACTAGTTAATGCTCTGTGACCAAAGGACGTCACTGTGAGCAAAGGCGTGAAAGAGTTTTCCTTCCTTCCCCTTCCCTAAGAGATAGACACCACCATGGCAACTGACGAATGCAGTGTTCACCTGCTGATGTGTGGCAGAAATTCAGTGCAGCTTCTCAGTGGGGAAAGAAAAAGATTTTGGCTGGGGAAAGGTCAGGATCCCTAGCTCTGCAGGTTATCATTGCAAGTGCTGGTCCTTCCCAGAAACCGTGGCCTTAGGCTTTGCATCTGTGAATCCACAGCCCTTAGCAGCAGCCTAGAAACTTGGTGCCGGCCAGCCCGGTAGGCACAGTACAGATGTGGTCAGGACATCAGCAAAGTGTGGGTGCCAAAAAATGCTTTGCTTCAAGTATTTAATATTTAATAATAAGCAAAGAGAATGTTGCTGAACATCTTTACACTTATTTAATGATATGCTCATTTACTCTGAGATTTGGGATTACCCACTGCAGAGGGTGGAGATGGAGGTGGGGACTGGAATCTTTGCGGTATTTGAGGCCTTGAGAGTCTAGAGCTCTTACTCATCCCTAGGGAATTGTGTAATACTAAAATGGGAAGAGGTGCCAAGGGCATCACTCCCAACTGATTGCTTCCAGGCAGAATCACGTGTAAACCGTTTTGCCCAGATCCAGAGAACATATGGTCCATGAGGGCAGGGATTCCTGTGCGTTTTGTTCTGTGCTGTATCCCAGCACCCCGCACGGTGCCTGGAACGAGGAGCTGTTGGAAGATGTTCTGTGCAGGATGGACGCGTCCATTTTCAGCAGTCTATCCTTCCCCCTGTTGCCCGACTCCTCTCCCTCCCACACGATCCCAAGGTGTCCTCAGAAGACATTTGGTGTTTGCACGATGATTTAAAAAATATTGAACTGTGGGGGGGGGTACTTTTCAAACATATCAATTACCATGTTTCTCTGTTAGAAATTCTGGCTTGGGCAGTCTAGATGGGAACCCAGGAATCTGCCTTTTGGACAAACACATCCGATGCGCTTTTTCTTTGGAGCAACACTGAGCTGAATGGCAGGGGCTCAGCTCTTCCCACACAGAAGTTGAGGAGCTGTGGCCACTTGACCTGGTTTCCAAGGGGCTGTCAAAAGTTAACAGCCCGAGCTCCCGGTCAGCAGTGCTGAAGGATGCAGGGGTATACGAGTTTTCCATTTTACCTGAGGCCTTCAGGCTCAGCCCTACATCCCACCTCCCACCTTCCTGGAGAGGTGAGCCTAGAGCAAGGGGTCTCCAGAAAGCCTCGACTTCTGGGATCGCCCACTCAGCTCCTTACTCCTCCTTTCCACCTCCTCCTTCTTTGTTCTGTCCCCTTTCCCAGCTGTCACCAACACGTGAACTCTTGGCCACCTCCACTAGGTTTGGTGGTGACCTCTGCTCTGCTGGGCAGGAGTTGACCTCTGCCTCCATAAAAAGGCTGATTTATAGTCCCTCCTCATCCCTGAAGCAGAGCATTCCTCCAAGGGGGGCTAAAGAAAGCCTCTATCTTCAGAATTCCCCCTCCTTGCCACCCAGAAGAACGAAAGCGCTGATCTCACCGGGCCCTCCCTTTCCATCCCAGGGCCTCCCGCCCCTTGACTGAGGTCTGAAGACGCCAGCCTCTCTTTACCACTTCCTCCCAGGCTTTCCTGTCCCCAGGACTCGGTGATTCTCGACTGGGTCACCAAGCACTTACAGTTTCCAAAAAGAGATTTGAGGTTATAGAATAACATGACAAAGAAAAATTGCTGCCTTTATTTCTTGGCTACATAACCCCCAGCATCACCACTTTCTTCTACTTGGGGAGATAATCTTCCGATCTCTAACCCATGAGCTCAAATTCTCCTTGGAGATTAAACACCAAGAAACACTTAGGCCAAAAGGGATAATCTACTCTGTGGCCGAAGGTGAGAGGTTATAATAGACTCAATCATGGTTATTCTACAGCCATATTGCCCAGTACAGTTGTCACATATGGCTATTTAAATTTTCATTAATTAAAATTAAATAAGGTCCTAAAAATTCAGTTCCTCACTCACCAGCCACATTTCAAATGCTCGCTAGCCGATGTGGTGAGAAGCTCCCGCGTTGTGCAGTATAGCTGTCGAGAAGGCCATCGTCCCAGAAAGTTCTAGCAGACATCACTGGTTCAGAAGCATAGTATTTTTCCCTTGACCCTGTCTATGTGCTATTTCTTCACATCTTTAGAAATGTGTCTTTGTTTCTATTGGTGATTCTTAGGGTTGCAATGCATTCTTCTAGGGAAAAAAATACTCCTGAAGACTGCATTAGAAAACAAACCCACAAGCACGTCCTAAATGCAAAGGCTGTGTTTTCCCACTTCTCTTTCTTTTAGCCCCCTTCTGTGAGAATATCCTCCCTTCTTTTCCACGGCCTTTCTGCTTTATCTGCAGAGGAGCTTGTTCTATGTAGGGCTTCTCAGACACAGGGAAAGTGTAGCCCAGACTTCCAAAAGAAGATCAAAAGCCTGTTTGGGGCACAGGGACAAACAGTTGGGCAGAGCACCCCCAAGTCGCACACTGGGAAAAAAGCAGCAGAGAGAAGGGGTGCGACTGCGGGTGGGTGGAGGAAGGCGGGACTGGACTGTCCGTCTGGGTCCTGGGTCTGGAGGGGAGAGTAGGGTGGGCCGGTTCTCATGCTCCTGAGGTTGGAGTTCCTCAGGGCAGCCGCTTGCTCTCAGACCCCTCCTGGTTCTCACTTGCAGCAGAATTTCTCTTCAACTCATGGGGAATTCAGTCCTCGGCTGCATGTGAAGATGACAGTGACGGGGTGAATGCCGTCCGTGGGGAAGGAAGCGCCCTTTCCTTGATCTCACGGTTGCGCAGGAACCGTACTGTCTGCGGTTTTCCTTTCTGGATATCCATCGCCCCCTGCGACGGTTTCTTTAACACTCACCCTCACCCTGGGTGGAATTGAGGAAACTGAGCGAAGCTGTGGAACATGGCAGGCAGTGGAGTCGGAAGATGAAGGGCGGGATAAGGAGACCTCAGAGCCAGAAGTCACGTAGGACAGAGGGTAGGGCAAGGTGTGTGCCAAAGTTCAGGGGCAGGGGGCTGGACCCCAGCTCCCAGGCCTCGCGGCCAGAAGCCTCATCTCTGAGGCTTCCCTCTGCATTCTTGGGAGGCAGGACTCCCATCCCCAACCCCAAGCGGGCTGACCAAGGACTTCCGCCAGAGGGGAAGTTAGCTGGTCACAGGCGGATGGTTGGCGTCCTGGCGTTTCCCATCCCTCCGCTCAGGGGCAAGGGCTGTCCCTACGGTATTGCACACTCCAAACCTTTCTCAGCCTTGAGTTAGTTCTTTAAGTGAACCCGGCAGTCTGAACACAGCAGAATCCACTCCTGTGCCCCTCCGCCCCTCTAGAGTCTGCCCAATTGCACAGCTTAAAGCCACTGATGGACAACGCCCCATTTCCCTCTTGTCTTGCAGCCGTCTCCAACCTGGACGTGGAGAGTAAGCTGAGCGTGTACTATCGCGCACCATGGCACCAGCAGCGAAACATCTTCCTCCCAGCCACCAGGCCACCCTGCGTGGAGGAGCTGCACCGCCATGCCCGGCAGAGCCTGCAGGCCCTGCGCAGAGGTGACTGATCCCAGGCTGGGGCTATGTGGGGAGAGAATTCAGCCGTAGTCCTGTCCAAGGGCTCTCTGTCCCAACACATCCCCCTGTTATAGCAAGTGCTATATAGGTAATACATCCTACCTGTACACACGAGGAAAAAGCAGCATTATGGTCTAGGTATGACAATAAAAGGAAAATTATTTTTATAATAATGTGTATTTAAATATGCAAATGCCCGGGCTTTACTACCTTAGGAGATATACCAGAGCAGTAAGACGTGTCTGCCTATCAAAAGTGACTTTGGATCAAGTAATGACAATCAAAAATTATTCTGAACAGAAAGAATAGAGAAAAGGAGTCTGGAGGGGCAGGAGGACACAACCACAAAAACTGGTACATTCAGCATACATTTGATATGAGCAAAAGTGTACTTTGGATTATTAATATAATTAAAGTGGAATTAAGTTGGACTCAGAAATAGGCTTTTCCCCTATGAGAGATTCTGATGGGACATTTGAATATGCTGTGGGATCTGGGCCACTTTTTTATTGCCCACCTGTGTAGTCCAGGATATCTGCATGTTTGCCTCCCACTCGATCATTCCAACAACTAGAATGACCCCCTAGAAGGCTCTGCTGCTTCTCCGTGGGGCCACGTGGAAGCCTAGTGAGGTGAGAAAACTTGCACAGGGTCAGAGACAACAGTTAAGGTACAGTGCCAGTGCCAGTGCCAGGACCTGGACCCAGGCCTCCGAACCCCCAGCCAGAGCTCTTTTCCTTGCCATTCGCTGTGTCCCATGGAAATAAATATTAATGCTGACATTTCTCTCTCAGTATTGAGCAAGCTGGACACAGGCACATAGCATTCAAAGTAGAAATACAGCCTTTTCTTACGCTGGTTACTTTTCAGTGCCTTAAACCCACTCTAATTAGGGCCAGGGGATTAAAAGTCAGCATGATCATTTGAGAGCCCTCTAAATTGGGGAACAGAAGTTGGCTGCCAGTTTTCTTGACCTTTAGATTCTTGCTATGGACATAGCTGGTGTCTACACGTTCAGTGTCTTTGTTTCAAATTCATTATACTCTTTTAAGGAATGGTATTTTGCAAAAGTACTACAATTTAAATAAAATCGTTTAACATCATTTTTAAGATAGAGAAACGAAGTGATAACAAATGTCACCTTCACCTTTTTTTTCTTCCACATTTATGGAACTTCTGCCTTTCCCCCTATCCTCATTTTTTCCCCTTTTAATGAAAGAGCTAACCTATTAATATCCCAAAAGCAACTGTTTTTTAAAAATTCCCCTTGGTTATTAGTGGCAGATACTGTAACACTTATAATGAAGAGTGATGATCAGTATCCTTTAGACCAGTGGTTCTCACCCTTCCTAATGCCACGGCCCTTTAATACAGTTCCTGTGGGTCACGACCCACAGGTTGAGAACCACTGCTCTAGACATATCTCTGGCATACTTACTATTCGCTTGACTTTTATAGTTGTTTATAGAAAGTTCTTCTTTAACACATCTTTAGTGTAAGCCACCTCTGGGAATCTTCCTTTGTACTCTTGTCGTTGCATTCCCGTAATATCCCACGCATCCTTATGGCCTTGTATCCTAGCCAACCACTGCAGGCCTGTCTTCCACAATTAATCCACGAGCTACTCGAGGGCAAGGATGATATCTTATTAACTTATTATATTCAAAGTACTGTAGGATGAACCCAACATACAGTAGTAGGTCCTCCATGAGTGTTTGTGCAACTGAATTAAATTCTGCCCCTGGTTGAACATTGAGAGCAGGAGGTGACAAGAGAGAAATATGATTATTTTTCCTAAAAACTTTCTTGGATCCCATCATTAGAGAGCTGGAGTAATGTAAGCCCTTTAGGCATAATTATTTTATGCCTTTATTATTATTAATAAGTCATCCCTGATAAGATCTTTATGGATTCTACCAGATACCACCGCCCTGCTCAGAAGCTATCGCGTTGCACTGCTTTGTCAGGTTCGGACTTAGGGCAGGACCGAAGAAGGGGAAGTGGCAAAATCAGTTTTCTCTGAATCTCCTCCTCCTGGGGGGTTGGAAGGAAGAATGTAGAGCTTCGTCTTGCCCTCCACAGACTGGCTTGTTTTGTGGTTGGCTCAATAGAAAATCTTGGGTGTAGTAGTTTTAACAGCACTGCAGAGAGCCATAAACAAGAATTATAGGCATCATAGAATTAAAAACATGCAGTGTAGAATTAAAATTAGAAAGTGACTTTTTTTTTTTTTAACCTTGTCCAAGAAACACAGTAGCTTAGGAGTGTACTCATCAGCATAATCCACTTCTGCCATCTGGTGGCTGTGAATAATACGGACTTAGCAGGCAAGCCTTGCTCAAATGCCGCAGTGAGCACCACGTAGCTTCTCTATTTGGACAGCTGCAATAGCCTTGCTTCCATCAGGAAGGAGTGGATAATGAAGCATAGACAAATGAGGCTAGTGTGGCAGCAGCTCAGTGCTCCTTTTGGAGATAAGATTATAAGGAGGGAGCTGGGGGACAGAGATTAAAACCCAGAAATGAGCTGTCTTCATGATCTACTTACTAGTAAAGCCCTCAACAAACTTTACTGAAAGCCAAGCTTTGTGCTAGAATCTAGGATTCAAAGAGCAATAAAATATAGTCCTTGCCTTCAAAGAATCCCTAGTCAAGTGAGGGATCCAGACAAGTGACCAGGTAATTTCAATACAAGGATATGGGGGCTGAGAGGAAAGGTACCAGGTCATGGTGTGGAGCTTCAGGGAAGGCTTCCTGGAGGAAGCAGGCACTGAATGGATTTCAAGTTATTTAGAATCGTATTACTTTTTTCCAAGGCTTTAATGTTCAAAGCCAGTAATCACTTTAAGTGATGCCATCATTAATGTCAGTAAAACAGAGAAGGAAATTAGTAAGTGACTATAAAGGAATAATTATATTATATATTTCCTTTCAAGTTTCTGGCTGAGGTGTAAGTTTCATTGGTCTAAAGGAATAAGAACCAAGATTCTAGTGCAGTTTCAGACTTCCGTAGACCAATGTTCTCCCTACCTCACCACCAGAAAGAGATATTATTAGCATGCCATTAATCTAGCCTGCCTACTCCTAGCCCAGGACAAGGAAAGAGATCTATTTAAGATAGTGTGAGAGAGAAACAATTGAATGGGAAATTGAGTTGATGTCTCCCAACTCCTTCCCTTCTTCCACCTCTTCCTAAGCAGGAACACCTGTATTCTACTCTTCTTTATAAATCTAAGACTATAAAAGCTTTTCCTTACCCATTTAGGAAACCCCACTGATAGCTTGCAGAGAAAAATGAGGGTGGCACTGGAGGCGGGTGCTTTAGCATGGCAGAAATTTCTCTCAAAACATCTTCCTAATAAACATTGACTTTGGAGGCGGTTTAGCAAAGACGACCTACGCGGTTTTAAGTTTTCTCTGGTTGCAAATGCAACCAACATTTGTTGAAAGAATCCTAAGCAAAGGAAGATGAGAAATCCTATCACATTTTCCTGACACAAAAACTAAGTGAGCAGTTCAGGCAGCAAGGCCCAGAGATAGCCAAATCAGATATGCATAGAGATCAGAAAGCTCAGGAGTGCTTGGTTTGTAATTTGCAGGCAGCTCATTGAGTAAAGCAAAGAAGCATGGGGCCAGTATTAGGGAGGCCAGTCAGAAATAAGCGACAGGACTTAGAGAAGCACCTGGCAGTGAGGGCATCCACCACGACACAGCCCATTTGATTATAGGTATTAGAGTGGTGGGGTGGCTCAAGGTAATTACCGAAATAATTAAAGAGAGCAAGAGCAAGTACAGTTTTAGCAAGGAAGGAAAAGTTTATTTTAACAACCTGGATAGCAGACCGAGCCCTGTCCTAGTGACTGCAGGAGCCGTGGAAAGAGCAGCCTCTGGGTTTTATACACAACTTTCAGGCCTATCAGCTGCATCTTGGAAGTCTCCCAGGGTCTTAATTATCTCTGTTCTCAAAAAAAAAAAAATACCACCTGCAAGGTCTTGAAAATAACCCACCAGCAAGGTCTTAATAACAACCCACCTATAGGGTCTTAATCAGCCTCATTCCCCTAATAGCCCAGGTGAGCCTGAGCCAGACCAGTCCAAAATAGCCTAACCACTTCCTTTATCTGCCCTGCTCACATCTAGATAGTGACCTAACACAGGGATATGGAATGCAGATGCACTCTAATTTTAAAAGAGTAGACTTGAATGAAAGCATTAATTCATTCTCTCTGGGGTCATTCAACAAATGTGTGATGTAAAGACTGCCAATGTGGCCTGTTTCCAGGTACCAATAGTGGCATAACTGACTCACACAAATTCCTGAATATGTAGCAATCAGCTCCTATGAGCCAGTGTGAATTGGCCCCTGCACCAATAGGGTGGCCCGGGCAGCTCTGGGTGTCACGCCTACTTTCCACTTTGGTATTAATGACAGCAAATCTTTCATTACTGTTCTCAACATTTTACTTTCTTGTTGTTTTGAAACAAGGCACATTGAATGCAGAAGCGGGCCCTTTTGTACATAGATTATGAGATGGCCCCAATGAGATGTATGTATCCAATTTCATATTAATAGTCAGGGAAAGTGCAGCTGGGAACACTTCCACAAATCTGATTTGGTATACCAATTAGCTAGGGTAGTGCAAACTCACTTTATCTTTTTATAGCCTTCTGCTAATACTTCCAAGTAGGGAAGAAAAATTGAACATGCCAAGTGTATTTCAGTATTATTGCTTTTTCTGCCCCCTTAGAACACCGGAGCCGGAGCGATCGTCGAGAGCAGAGAGCAGCTGTCCCCCTTTCCGCCGCTGCTCCCCCACTGCCCGCCTACCCTCCAGCTCACAGCCAGAGGAGGCGCGAAGTTAAGGACCGTCACTTCCTAACGGTAAGCCTGGTGGCCCCCAGCAGCCCTGTGCTTGCTTGTCAGGAAATAGGAGTTTATCTTCTTGGGAGTCAGTTTCCCAGGAGGCTTGACTGACTGAGAGAGCAAATCGGGGCCATTTGGGAACAAGCAAATTTTCCCTTTTTCATTGCTGAAAGAAATACCTCTTTTTCGGAGTAGAGTGGGGATATAGGTGGATATTTTGAGTTAACTGATTGCACAATGCAGTAAAGCAATAATAGTTGTGGATTCTAAAATCGAGAGAAAAAATTACTTCAAATCCCAGTTCTGTTTATAAGCCGAAGGAGCACGGGTACGTTATTTATCTCCTTTGCCTTCAGTTCCCTCATCTGTACTATGGGGCTACTGATAGTATCTAATTTACAGGGCTTGAGGATTAAATGAGCTGAGGCATGTAAAGAGCTTAGCCCAGTGTAAGGCCTCAATGAATGACTGCAGCTGCCACTAAGTTAGGACTAGTCAAGTGATGGCGTGGCTCGAAGGGGTGAACTAGGAAAGAACTCAGGCGACATGAAAAATGACCCTTTGAAGGCACATCATGTGTGATTTCCTGCTTTCACATTCTCTAAAGGAGGCTAGTTCCCCAGGGTAACTCATTATCACTCATTATCACAGTGACATCATCACCGCTGGTGCTTTCAGTCCCACCCAGGTCCATGTGGCTAGAACTCAGCCTGAGCCCCAAAGTGTGGATTCCAAAGAAGAAACTAAGCCTAGTTCAGAACACCTGCAAACACTGTCAGCAGCTGCTACAAACACACCACCCCAGATGCGCCCTCGGGGGCACTCGGTGACTCTGAGTAGGGCATTGCTGAAGTGAGGGACTACGGCTTTTGTGACCAGATCAGCCCACACTGCCTGCCTGAATGTCTGTACTTGTGCTCTTGTCGTTCTGGTTTGAGATCCAAACTCTAAAGAAGTTACGACAATGTGGGTAAGAGTTGAATTAGAACTGAAATTGGCACATTTGACTCTTTCCACCCTAGGGCTTTTACAACATCCAAGACAGATGCGAAATTAGGTTGCACGATGCCAAACACCCAGGTGAAAACAGCCTTCATCTAAATGAATCCACGTCAGAAGATAAGACCTTGCTAGATACTGGACATGACAGCAGTTCAGTTCATGAAGTCATCCTAGAAAAGGTGCTACATACCTCACTGCCAAATATCACTGTGGTCACCAGATGGCCAAGGGGACTCCTTGGAAGATGACCATAGTGATGACAGTGTTGCCAATTTAAATGGCTGACATTTTCCCACTTGCAGCCGGACGGTGGGGGCCATAGCCTTCAGTGCTCATCAGATGCACACCACCAGATTGCTGCAATGCAGCCCAGGGAGAAGGAAAGGAGCTGGGCGTCTCTTCTGGCTCCCCAGTTCTTCAGATAGAGCAGTTACACATGCTAGTGATTTGTCATTAAGGGCCCTACACGGCAGAGGTTCCTATGCAGCTCAAATCTGCTTGTTGAAGCATTTGCTTTTAATGAGGCATTTTCTGCATAAAAATGCTAAAAATATTTTTCCCATTCATTATAACATGGTTTGTGGCTCATTAAATTGGTTTTCTTAGGGAGGAGGTAAGAGAGAAGAATTTGGAGCATTTACAGCAATGACATTAAAATATAACCCTTTCTCATAATCTGCATAATTTTTAATAATATCTAAATACCAAAGTGAGGCTATAACAAAAGGCTTAAAATAATGAATAGCAATGAGGAAACTTCTTGTATTCATCAAACACCAGTAACAGAGGACTCTACATTACACTTCAGTAAACTTCAGAAAGTTTGGCCATCTCAAACGATAATAGCATTTCTAAGTAACTTGGGGAAATTTTAACTGTTTGATTTGTTCAAGAGTTTGGGTCACCAAGTTCATTAGAAGATTCTCATTCAAGATGTAGCCCTCAGACTTAGACAGAACATGGTTCTATGCACTAAGCTTACAAGGCTGTGTACTGCTGAAAGAGAAATGGTTGCAGGTATATAAGGTTGGACAATTAAGTTCGTGAATTCATCCCCCCAAAAAGTGCTACATACCTCATTGTTAAATATCACTATGGTCACCTTCAAGATACTCCCCTTGGGAAGCGATGCACTGATGCCAGTGCCTAGTCCACCCTTCAAAGCAATTTTGGAACTCTTTTCTGGAATGGCTGTCAGTGGTCATCTGACAATCAAGTTCATGAACTCATCCGCTATAGGCTGTTAGACTATACCTCGTCATTAACAGGATGGACTAGGAAGCCAAATTGCCAGGCTCTACATACCAGCTCTACTACTTACTAGCTATGTGGCCATGGGTGAAATAATCACCTCAGTGTCTCAGGAATAATGTTAGATAGTACTTAATATGCCTTTGGTACTCGGATTGAATGTGTTAATACATGGAAACAGTACCTGATACATAATAAGCACTCCATAATGGTATTGCACATTGCCATTATTATTATTGACCAATCAAGTCCCCAAGGGATCTGTGATATAGTGATACGATCATAGGTCTAACTGGGTCTAAAGCCCAGCGCTACACCTTTTTGTTTGTGTGATTTGGAAAAAGTGATTATATCTGCGTCCCAGCTTCTTAATCTGTAAAATGGGAATAATAATTACCACTTTACAAACTTGTTAAGGAGACTTCATATGGTATCATATAAATAAGATTAAATTTCATGTGTGTATGTGTGACATGTCCACCATAGTTCCTGAAATACCTGAATATCTGATTCTGTATTCATAATTCCTAATGAAACTCTTATCATCAAATGAAAAGCCTATCGCATATACTCACATACAAGACTAGAGGAAGTATAAATCACTACACCTTTTCTACAGGGCAAAATATTCATACTATTCGATTCAGTAATTCTCCTTCTAGGAATTTACCCCAAGCCAATAATTAGCGTATGCAAAAATTGATTTACTGGGGTGTTCATCAAAACTCTGTTTATAATGAGAAAAATAATCACAAATATTTTAAATGCCAAACAACAGGAGCTTAGTTTAATGAATCCTGACATATCTACAGGATGGAATACACTATCAAAAATAACGTTAGAGAATATTAATGATAGGGAAAAATATATGTTTTACCATTAGGGATTTTTAAATAGTTTATAAAATTGTATATGGTATGATCACAAAAAATGTCTGTGAGTGTATATGTGTATGTGTGTATATATATAAAAGGGCCTTCCTGCCCTTTTCTCTGTGTGTGTGTGTGTATGTATGTATATATATACACACATATACATATATACACGTATATACACACACATATATATATATACATGCATATGGGGAAAGATATTAAAAAATATATATATATATGAGTTCATGAACTTGATTGTCAAAACCACAGATACATAGCCTTCCTGCCCTTTTCCATACACACATGCACACACACACACATACACATACATATTTATATACATGCATATAGTGAAGGGCTTGAAGGTTATGTATCTGTGGTTCCCAAGCTGTGTTCTGCTACAGTGAACTTTTAAGGGTGCTGTGTGATATGTTACAATTTCAGGGGACACCGTGTCATCTGTCTGGTGACATCTAGTGATGGCTCCAAGGACACCTCATAGCTCCTACAAGTGGTAAGAGGAGATGCTTGGTTTCTTAACATGTAATTTATGCCATAAGTTTTCCAAGAAGAACTTATAGGAAACTGGACAAACAATTTAGCTTAAAACTCTCTGTTAGCTAAAAATTCAAGGGGTGTCCCTAATTAAAGCCTGTCTGGAAGTCCTCCCCCATCAAGGATGGCAACGAAGGTGATTTCAGAGAAAGGCTCCCCTAAAATGAGAGCCTCTTTCCATCTGGCTGCTGGATTCTTAAATGCTGTAGCCAGGGACTACGTATTTGTATTCTATTAGAAGAGAGATCAGCCCTACCAGATATTTACCCTTTAAGAAATTAATTTTGCATCATTTCTTTGGAACATAAGGCTGCTGTGGACCTGTGCTACAGATCGAAACGAACTACCAAATCTACGTTTTCACATAACAGCTCAACCTTTTACACATACTTAATTCACCTCAGAAAAGACAACTTTCTATGGTGCATCTTACAAGGGTACCTGTGAAATTTACTAAATACAGAATATAGATGTCATAACACAATAACTAAGAAAATGCCGTGAAGGCTATGTTAACCAGTTTGATGGAAATATTTCAGATTATATATAAAAGCAACACATTGTATCCCATGATTGCATTCATGTACACAGCTATGATTTAATAAAAACAAAACAAAACAAAACAAAAACACAACTTTAGACTGGAAAAGGACCTAAGGAATTATTTGGGCCTGGCTGTGAGCCAACTATAAAAAGTTAATAGTAAAAATGTTCCCAAGGGCAACATGAAAGAGAAATTGCCTGGGATCAACTTGTGTCCACTTGATTGAACTCTTGGCTGCAAATTAACTTGTTAAGTGGCAGGATACTGATGATTTTACGTGTTTGTGCGCTCCATAAAAACTCAGTCACTGAAACTCATTTACCTCCAGGTAGAATCCCTAAGGATTTTTTCTTCCTTGCCTGGGCTGTGGTCAAACTAGGAATGGCAAATGGGCTTCAAAATAAGGAGCCTTTGCCAGAGCTGGAACAGGTAACCTGT